AAATGACAGTGTCTAAGCCCCAAAACCCCAAAACCCCAAAACCCCATCTGGCCATATATCAGTTTATCTGTGGTTAGAGAACTTAAGATTTTAGTTTTTGAAAAAGATCTTAATTATAAATTTCTATAAGTATGCAAAGAAAGACTCTCACTAACAGTCAAGGTCACCCAGTTGACGATAACTAGAACTCATTAACAGCTGGACCAAGAGGCCCTATCCTTTTGAGTGATATCCATCTCATTGATAAACTCGCTAAGTTCGATAGAGAAAGAATCCCTGAAAGAGTAGTACATGCTAAGGGAGCTGGAGCTCATGGCTATTTCGAAGTCTCTCATGACGTCACAAAGTATGTCAAATTTTGAATTTAATCCGCATGCTAGGTTCACAAAGGCTAAGTTCCTTAACTAAATTGGAAAGAGAACTCCACTTTTCCTTAGATTCTCAACAGTCGCTGGAGAGAGAGGAGCTGCCGATACTGAAAGAGACCCAAGAGGCTTCGCAATCAAATTCTATACTGAGGAAGGAAATTATGACATGGTTGGAAACAACACCCCTGTATTCTTTATCAAGGATCCAATCAAGTTCCCCGATTTCATTCACAGCTAGAAGAGACATCCTCAAACTGGAATGTAGGATCCAAATATGGCCTGGGATTTCTGGAGTTACAGTCCAGAGGCTCTTCACTAAATTACCATTTTATTCTCAGACAGAGGTACACCTGATGGCTTCAGATTTATGAACGGATATAGCTCTCATACTTACAAGTGGGTTAACGAGCAAGGTATCGTTCACTATGTGAAGTATCACTATAAATCTGATCAGGGCATTAAGAACCTCACTCCTCAACAAGCAAACGATTTAAAGGCAACCTCAAAGGATTACGCAACCGAAGATTTACATAATCACCTTGCAAAGGGTGGTACCGCTTCATGGACCTGGAAAGTATAAATTATGCCAGAAAAGGACGCAGAGACCTATAAGTATGACGTATTCGATGTAACTAAGATCTGGTCTCAAGCTGACTACCCATTGATCCCAGTCGGTAAGTTGGTACTCAACAGAAATCCAGACAACTTCTTTGCCGAGACTGAGCAAGTTGCATTTGCCCCAACTAACTTAGTCCCAGGTATTGAGCCATCCCACGATAAAATGCTCTAAGGTAGAATATTCTCTTATCCAGACACCCACAGACACAGACTGGGTGCTAACTTCGATTAAATTCCTATCAACTGCCCATATAAGGCTAGAGTTGCTCATTAGCAAAGAGATGGTCCAGCAACTGTGAATGGAAATTATGGTAACTCAGTTGTCTATGAACCAAACTCCTTCGGAGGACCAGTTGAAGACCCAACAAAGAAATGGGCTCCAATTGCTGTCTCAGGTAGCGTTGGTAGATATAGACACGTCCACCCTAATGATGATTATGAACAACCAAGAATTCTTTACAGAAAGGTCTTTAGTGAGCAAGAGAGAACTAGACTGTGCGATAACATTATTGGCGCAATGAAGCCAGTCAGAAGAGATGTAATATTTATTGGTTAATCTTATTCTATTTTAGATCCAAGAGAGATAACTCAAGCTTTTCTACAAAGTTGATCCAGATTATGCAGGAAGAATTGCAAAAGGTCTTGGTCTCCCACTCGAAGCTGCAAAGCTTTGATTTCTATGTCTAACTACTTTATGATATCATAGTTCCTGATATTAAATTCATGATAACAAATAAAACCTTTTCATTATCTCTGTGTCTAGATATATAAATATAAAGATATTATCCTCTATCCTTAGATTATTTAATTATATACAATTTTAAAGGGGTTTTGGGGTTTTGGGGTTTTGGGG